TAAAGAAATGAAAGATAAGAAAATAACCTTTCTTTTGTTCATTGTGTAGATAGATTTTTTTTCCCACCTAGGTTACACAAAACAAGTTCCTTAACCAATAATGCTATATGACCAGGCTTTGCTGTTTACTGCTGCCCATTTAGGTACAACTATTGGCTGTGGACAAAGAGTAAATAATATTAAAAACTGAACGTTCCTAAAATGCTAGTTTAAGCTGGCTTTTCAGACTAGAGACACACAAACGCAGTAGTTAGATGGAAGGTTTTTAATTTTCTTGCTTCTATTCCAAACAAAGCTGGAAGGAAGTCTGTGTGTGATCAATCTTTCTTGCCAAATGGTTTGACAGCTTCTGGCCTTAAAGATCACATTTAAAGCTTCTTGTTTCTTCCAAGATCAAATGTTACTGGGAAAGAGGTTTGAGTGAGAAATGCAAGTAAAGAAGGGAATTTTAGTCTCTCCTTCCTTCACTTATTTGAGATTGGATATATTTTCATATCTCAGGTATGTCACCTTTTCTTTGTGTTGTGTCTTCCCTGTGTCTGTATATATGAAGATGTGAATAGAAAAAATAGGCTGAGAAGGGGGGAAAAATGGAAAATAGAGGGGATATGAGTAGCTGTAATGAATCTTTGTTGGCTTAATGTGTGTGGGTGTGAGTATTCTTAAAATCCCTTCTCCTTTCCCTATTGCTTCATAGATGAGGGAACAAAGAATGTTACTGTGTCCACATCAAATCCATTTATCTGGACACACAGTAAACCAAAATATCAGCACAAACTCCTTCCAGCAGATTATACATAAAGGTTTGTCTTAAATTGGAAGTAGGGAAGTATGTAAAATATAAGCAGCCAGCTATGGAGAAGACGCCTGCGACATATGGTAACCAGGAGCAGCATTAAAATAATACATCATGCCCTTCAGTCCATAAAACTCATGCCCTTGAGGATCATCTGTTAGTGTAGGAAGAAGAAATGTTCAATGATACATTGTAACTGATCACATACGTGGCCAACAGTTCTGCATTGGGAGGGTAGCTATTGGCACAAAATGTTTCTTTCCTTGCCTTGTCTGCGCTCTTGTAATACATTGAAGAACAAATAATTGTCAATCTTATTTGTTCTTTTTTTTTTTTTAATAAGCTACGGTTAAATTGTAAAATGATTGACTGTAATTTGCCTGTATTATTTATGAGAATTATTACAATGCTTTTTGCTCTGTCCTTTTATTTGGTTAATAAAAAAAAGGCAAGTGTCGTATTTGATATATAGCTTTTAGCTTGTGTTCATAAAAACATATATATATATACTTTATATATAAATATAAATAAATAATATATATATATATATATATATATATATATACATTAAGCATCGAGAAAATATATGTATATATTTTCAATATCATATATATATATATATATATATATATATATATATATATATACACACACACAAACGATTTTCCTTTATATGTAGGTCCATTCTTGCATTCCCAGATCATCTCTTTTTTTTCTACTTTTGTGTGTGTTTTCTTCTTCATTTTTATCTCACAACAAAGCCACCCACATAAACGTCCATTTCCCACTGCTAGGGAAAAGTGTAGGAGTAAATTGTGCATTGGTTCCTGACAAAGAGCTTGCCCAGAAGAATCCATTCCCTGTGAACAGATGCCTTGGAGCTGATGGTGCAGTTTGGAGCATAAGTTGGCCTCAGAAACCCATCAGCACTCAGCTATTACCTACCGGACCTCCATTATCGGCCATCTTATCAATCACTAACACATGCATTCAAAGAGATCTTGTCCAGCACATGCAGCTATCCCAGTCTCTCTCTCTCTCTCCTCTGTTACAGAGCAGGCTCTATTTTCTTTTCCTATCAGTGAATGCTGCTACAGCTAACAATTTAGAGCCACAGAAAAATCTGTGCCTTTCTTGGTCCTATCCATAAATCGGTAATCATTCCTGACAATGAGAAATTTTCAAACCATTGTATGCAACATAATATAATAAAATATGAATTAAAACCCATTTCTTTCTTGTCTGTGTCTTATTGTGCCAAATGAAAGTATTATTTCCAAATATACAAATTCTCACTGTATTTTTTTCTCTAAGATTTTATTGCATCTTTAAAGAGAATTTATCTGATTTAAACATAGCTTCCTGTGCCATTAACCCATCCAACAAAAAGGTCCTTAGGGCGACCTTGATGTTAAGGGCGGATATTGTTTATAAATATGAAAGATGGATAAATAATATGTAAACAGTTCGAATATTTTTGATTGCATAACAAAAATAATAAATTAACCGGGATATATGCACCAGCATACACACAATTGAATGAAGAACAAGTATTATGATCCAGACAGACCCTGTTCAAGAGCTTTTTTTTTTTATATTTGCCTAGCAATTTTTATAGAAGTGCAATAATAATTTACTCTGATTCCCTGCGGGATAAGAAATGTACGAACAAATTCACATTTAAGAAGTTTTTTTTCATAAAAAAATTTGTTCTTATACCCTGTTTGATAAAAGTGTAGCATAAAATACAAATAAATCTGCTCCAGGTAAAGATCATGAAGGGCGATATGTACTATGCAAACAAAAAAAAATATGCAAAGAATATTGCTGCCCAAAAAAAATATATAGGACAAGGGAGTTACTGTCATTAAAGGTAAAAAAAAAAGAAAGAAAAGAAATAAAAAATGTTGATTCCCCTATAAGTATTTGTGTCCATTACAAATGTGTCAGCTTGGGTGCTTCCTGAATTCTTCCCTGAGAACTGTGGTGAGAAGATAAATCTGTATATGTGGGGTGTGAATCACAAGGTCCATGGTGGTGAGTACTGTTCATTGGTCCAGGTCCACTGTAGTCCATATTGGAAGAGGAATGAGACAGATGAGTTAGACCAAACATGGAGGGCCCTGAATTAGTCATGGATTCCACATAATTGCCCCCTACATAAACGGGGCTTCCCTGTACATGAGGATTGCCATAGCCACCGCTGCCTTGGAGTGAATGTGGGTCATATTCTGGGGTAACAGCAGCAGTCCCCGTGTATCTTTTCTGGTGAGGTGGGCAGCTGTTATGGGGGCTGGGGTAGGGAGCAGGCACACCATAAGCGTTTGGATGGGGTTTGTTAAATGCTGGGGGGGACTGAGGCTCATAAGGGACACTGTTGACCATAGAATGCATAGAGTTTAGATATCCCCCACGGTTGGTGGTACAGGGCTCCTGCACGGTGATGGGCCACCCGATGAAGTCATCATGGATTTCCCTTTTTGATCTTTTTTGTATTTCATACGTCGGTTCTGGAACCAGATCTTGATTTGCCTCTCTGTGAGGTTGAGCAGGTTTGCCATCTCCACCCTTCTGGGTCTGCACAGGTATCTGTTAAAATGAAACTCCTTTTCCAGTTCAACAAGCTGGGCGCTTGTGTAAGCGGTGCGGGCCCTTTTTGAAGAGGATTGCCCCGGAGGGCTTTTGTCTCCAGCACAGCTCTCACCTGCAAAGGACCACACAGTTAAAATACACATAAACAAAGATTTCAGCAGCTGTGACATATCTTACACAACCCCAGGCCTTGGATAGGGAGAATTAGAACGCTCCTGAGTAACACAGGTGTGCCTGCCTTCATAAATGTTGCAGTCATGTGCAGTAACCCATAGCAACCAGCTGTATGTCAGTATAGCTCCACTGCGGAACACTGGTAACAGAATGGTTGCTATGGGTCGCAGCACATCATTGCACAGTGTGGGTGATATAAGACAGACAAAAGTGGAGCTTTTGCCCATAGCAACCAGATTTCCTTTGCTTTATTTTTTTCATAAAGAAATCTTTTTTTTTAATGAAATAAGCTCTCAATTTCGCAGACCAAAACAAAATAAACTAAAAAAAATGTGATAGTGCAATGTATTGTTTATATTACCCCTAATTCCACACTACCTGTAAACATACACAACAAACAAACCAAGGGGGATTTACTAAGGCTGGAGGCTGGAGTAGACAGACTCTGGAGCAGCTGTGCAAGGCAACCAATCAGATTTTATTATTAATGCTTAACATAACAAGACCAAGCTAGAAGCTGATTGGTTACTCTGCTAGGTTAATTCCCACCACAATCTAAAAAAAAACAAACTGCAGCAACAATAGAAATAAATCCTCTACTACTAATAATAATAATACCATTATTATTACTACTAATAATAATACCATTACTGCTACCAATAATAATAATACCATTACTAATACTACTACTACTAATAATAATAATAATACCATTACTACTAATAATAATAATAATACAATTACTACTACTACTAATAATAATAATAATAATACCATTACTACTACTACTACTACTATTAATAATAAAAAATAATACCATTACTACTACTACTAATAATAATACCATTACTAAGAATACTACTACTACTAATATTATTATTATTATTACTAATATTAATAAATAATAACATTACTACTGCTAATATTAATAAGAACAACATTACTACTAGTGCTACTGCTGTTGTTACTACTACTACTACCACTACTAATAATAATATTCCTCATCACCAAAATAACAACAATATTATTATTAATAGTAGTAGTAATAATGTAAATATTAATAGTAGTAGTAGTAATAAAGTAAATAGTAGTAGTCATGTAATTATTATTTTTTAGTAGTAGTAGTAGTAGTATATTGTCTGCAGGAAATCAACCATGGTTGAATAGAGTGTAGAATGTGATAGTAGTAATATAGGCAATTAATTGTGTGTGGATGGGGGGGATGCACACCAATGAACCTCGTCATTATATAGGCACATCTAAGCTGCCTATTTGCAGAGCTAGCCGCCATGTTTCTATAGTAATGAAGGGCCACATGTTATTAGCTGCTTGTCAGAAAGATGGCTTCTCTCCCCTATCCCTTCCCACTATTATGTAGCAGGGCAAACCGACAAGCCAGATGGTAGTGATAACAGTTCTAGCCTGCCAAGTTGGTTTGACGTTGTGGTTTTACAGGCACAACATGATGCATAGTAAACACAGTGAATCACAGACACAGTGTAGCACAATACTCTTTAAGAAGCAATGTCTACCAAAACAGCAATCTACTTCTGTGTGATACTATAGCAGAATTCATATTATTGAGTTACATTCATCAACCAAACCTTTCTGTGCCAAAAGCTGGTTCGATATAGGGGCACAGCAAGTACACGGTTAGCCCTCCTTCTACACTCTCTCAGCCTGGACTCTTTAAACCATTATCGCATTATTTATGGATTCAATATAGTTCTCTCCTTATCATTCACAAGAAGGTAACAAATACTAAACGTTGTATTTATTCAATCACAATGCACTGTTCTTTGTAGAACCACGCATGCGCCTTAGAGTGATGAGAGAAAAGGGGGGGGGAGAGGGAATGTGAGTGAGCAGAAAGGAGGGGGAGTGAGAGAGCAAGAGAGAGATTACACCACACACTGTTAGATTGGGGCTAGGTCTACTAAACAGCAATTTTATAATACTTACTGAGGGCCTCTGCAGTGTGAACTGAAAGACATGTCACCAAAGACTTGTCATATACAGTTTTCTAAAATCTAATCATGAAATGAACTGAACTGTCAGACCATCATCTTAGATGAGCTTTCAATATATCCCCGCATTGCTGTGCCACTATATCAGATGAAATCTAATTACCTCGAATAATTGCATAAAAATTAATTGTCATTACCACAGCTGGTATATGTCTGACAGGCTGTTGTCTGTATTTCAGCTCTGGCCACCTAATTCACAGAAAGCAATTAAATGAAGTAATGAAGGACTTTTACCTGAACTTTATTTCCCTGCAGACTCCCTGGTCTCCATTTAGATTAAGTCTATGACCTGCAACAGGGCATCCAGTTAACTTTACCTGGTGGACTTAGGTAGGTGTTTGCAATCAAGCCATTATATATAATATATATATATCAGAAAAAGGTGGACAGCACCTGCAATTAATATAGCCAATGCCAGCAACCAGGGTCTTGCCCTTCTAGACTCAATGGGGTCGATTTACTAAAGGCAACTATACTGTGCATTGCTAGTGCACTTGCTCTACATTTGAGGGGAAGCTCTGCTGATTTCTATCATCCAATCATGTGTAAGCAAAACTGCTGTTCTTTATTTTCCTTGCATGTGATTGGGTATTCTTTGCAAAGTGAAGCTGTACCTTATTTACTAAGCTCTGGCGCAAGTGCACTTGCAGTGCACAATCTGTTTGCCTTTAGTAAATCAAACCCAATATGTATAAATAAAAAGTCCAAAATGGCATTTGACTTTTAGCTACCATGCACAGTTGCACCAGATTCTGAGTGCACCAGCTTTGGAAAATCTCTCTCTCTGAGAAATAAAAAAAACAAACAAACATATAATATATATATATATATATATATATATATATATATAGATACTAAATGACAATCATCTTCAATATTAAAACATATAATGGAGCACATTAACAATAATGACAGCAGCACCTGCCAATGCATATCACGTGTTGTCTGTTTCTTCTGCAATATATGTAAAATACTTTCATGATCATTTACATCTTTAAAATTGTTATCAATGGATCTCCAAAAAGACTAGCATTGCAAAAACGTATGCTGCACCAAATTGACTTTTTCTTTGTAATTAAAAAAATAATATATTTAAACATGAGTCCACAAATCAGTTAAAGGGTATGTGCTCTATGAATTGAAGAAGAAAAGCCTTTATTGTGGGTTACCTATACTGTGTATATATATATATATATATATATATATATATATATATATATATATATATATATATATATATACATATATTGGAGGGTGGAGGGCAAAGTAATTAATTCAATTGTTAACTCTTAATGATGACCAAGGTATTTCCAAACTGTGCAAAGTCACTAAGAGGGGGAATACCCCATTTTTAAATGACCATCAGAGATGGGACAGCCTTCCAGAACTTAACCCAAGCAGTGCCTGGACAAGTGACAAGCTACAGCCAGTGTGTGTGTGTGCCTCTAAGTGTCCTGCACAAAAGGTGACTTTACCTGAACTGGAGCTCCCTGTTGCTTTCTGCTTTGTGTTCTGTCGAGATTCTTTCATCCAAGGGAAAATCTGCTTTGACATGGTAGGTGAAGTGAGGTTTGTGGCCTTGGTGGTGGAAGTTGTGGCTGCATTACTGGCATTTTGAGGTGGGGACACAGAGGGTGGTGTGGGCTGCTGCTGATCTGAGATGACCGGGGCTTGGTTTGATTGACTGTTCACAGCTCTCATACAACTTTCGTTGATGTCATTGGCCTTGTGATGTGGCACTGTACCGCCAGGTGACTGCAGCGAGCAGGCAGGTCGATGATAGTCACTTTCCACCAGTGATGAGGAAGGGGGATATTGCTGCTGACTTGCATTATAAGTGAAACCATTTGCTCCTTGGTAGGGGTATCCACCATAGATCGCAGAGCTGTCGTAGTAGGTCGCTTTTTGCATTTCGTTGTTTCCCAATATTTATTTCACAAACTGACAGGGTCTTGACACCCGTAAAGAATAACATTGGCACCCCTCTGTCACGTGGCGCTGCTCGTCCAATGGCCTCTCTGGTCAGACCTGTGTTGGAGAAGGAGCACAGTGAAGTGAAGAAATAGAAGAGATCCATCTTACTTACAATAGCTAAGTGACATGAAAGCCATAAAGGAAAAAGTGTTCAGCAATATTGAGAAGTGTGTATTAAGATGATAGGGCTTCTCACTAACGTCCAAGTAATTCGCATTTGCCCAGAAATTACAGTTAAATGCAATCTGAATAACTACATCACAGCCTAGGCTGTTCACACACATCTCACCCCCCCCCACCATCAACAAATAGAAACAAGTACTTACATGATACCACTGCCCCCTTGTCACTCACATGGGTACACAGGGAGGTAGGTAGTGGGTGCACAGCATATACATTTATGGGAAGAGTGGAAATACAAATATATGCACACCCACAGCCTGTAATATCTATAGCACCAACAGTGAGGCTGATTTACTAAAGGAGTTGAGAACAGTCACACAATACATTTTTTTGTGTGAATATTCAATTCAGTTAGCTAGCCATGTGAAAAACAAATTTTCTTACTTTTTTATTTGTAGATGATTGGAAGAGAATATTCACCAAATGTATTGTACAACCATTCTCAGCTCCTTTCATAAATAAGTTTCAACCTGTATCTTTCTATAGCAGACACACACTCACACATTTACAAAATCGGTATATTTATTATATAAATAAGACAGAAAGCGTGAATGCTGATCTTGGAAATGCAAAATAAACACAATTTGCGTGTCTATATAATAGACATCCTGACATATGTTAGGGTGCATATATGTGTATATTTACATGTGGTACTTGAATATGCATACAAACAATAATACATACACACCTCGGACTTTTTTTTTTTGTTTTGTTTTCTTTTGTTTTTTTCAGTAGCTTTATACATTACCAAATTATTCCAACAGCTACAACACTGATTTCTATGTGATATTCACCCCTTATATATTTTGTTTTAAATAACTATATAAAGGTTTATGCACACAACCTATGTCCATAGCAGGCTCACAAAACACACAAAGTTGAAGCCTCAAACATACACATATGACCCAGCCTCATGGATCTGATAAACGTCATGTAAAAACGATAACCTCAGCTCCTTGGTGCTTATTGTAAATTACAGGTTATTGTACATTCAGGGCACACTATTGACTCAGTAAACAGTCGTTTATCAACTACTAGATACAGCTTCCCAAACACAGGCCTACAGAACACAATTCTAATGTCATCCAGATGAAGACAATGAAAGGTCTGCGTCTACCTTACTGGCTTCAATATTATAACATAGGGACATGGTCAATATAAGCATTTATAGAACACATACACATGTCAGATTATTGTATGTATTTGCCAGCACGCTCACCCTCCTGCCTTATGTAAGAACTTTTACCATACCACTACATTAGAGTCAATTGTAGCTGGTTGCTCATAAATAATAACACAAAGTAGCAGAGTGATACAACCATAAATAATAATACAAAGTAGCAGATACAAACATAAATAATAACACAAAGTAGCAGAGTGATACAAACATAAATAATAATACAAAGTAGCAGAGTGATACAAACATAAATAATAATACAAAGTAGCAGAGTGATACAACCATAAATAATAATACAAAGTAGCAGAGTGATACAACCAGGACTGTTTCAAGGCCAACTCTCTTTACTATGTGACCGCCTAGGCTCTTTAATATACCAAGCTCCACATATGGCGGATACATGAAGAAAAATACAATGCTAAATAGATTCATAAGTAACTTTAAAAAAAAGTCAGATGCCTTGTAATGTGATTTGTCGTAGTGAAATGTACACAATTCTACCTGTTAAAACATGATGGATTTGAAAAAACACCAGGAACCAGAAAGACCAGCAGCGTTCATCTCCATGACCACGGCATGAACTTTGTGTGCAGCCCCTAACGATAATAGGCTCTGTCTTTGCAACTGCTCTGTAATTTGATGTATGGGGGTCATTTGGCTAGCGAGAGAGTAGATGATGGAAACACAAGCCATAAAATACTTCTAGGATCCTAGCTATCTTTTGTTAAATCTTCATGTTTACCTATCTCCAAATAACTATTCAAACTTTAGTCACAAGACAAAAGCAAAAGCCTACAAAACGCCTCCAAAGCAAACTGCAAGAACATATAGAAATATAAAAAGCTACATTTCAGAAGCTGCTCTCATCTTAGTACAAAACAAAGACATTGTAAAACAATTAATACTATATCTGTTTGTGTGGGTGTGTTTTTATATCTATACTTCTATATCAGTTTTATATATATATGTGTGGATATGTTTGTCTTTATATCTATTTTTGTATATTATATTTGATATATATTGTGTGAATGTGTTTGTCTCTATATCTATACTTCTATATTTGTTTCTATATATATTTGTGTGGATGTGTTTGTGTTTATATCTATACTTCTATATTTGTTTCTATATATACATATTTCTGTGGATGTAGTTTGTGTTTATACTTCTATATTTGTTTCTATATATATTTGTGTGGATGTTTTTGTGTTTATATCTATACTTCTGTATTTGTTTCTATATATTTCTGTGAATGTGTTTGTGTTTATATTTATTCTTCTATATTTTTGTTTCCATATATATTTGTGTGGATTTTTTTGTGTTTATATCTATATTTGTTTCCATATATATTTGTGTGGATTTTTTTGTGTTTATTCTATATTTGTTTGTGTGGATGTGTTTATAACTATACTTTTATATTTGTTTTAAAATGCCCAATAATAGGCTTAATAAAAAAAAAAATAGGTAGCTAAACATTACAAACCCCTAACAGGCCTAAAGTTATCATGGTACATCTTAAACTTTCCAACTTTTTTTTTAAGATGGGGGGGTTGCACTTTCCCCTTAACTTCAATGTTATATTTATAAATAATATATGTATAGCTAGAGAATTTTATTGAAAGAGTTTAACCTTTTTAATTTAAATTTGCATTACAAACCCCTAAAAATCCACCATTCCTCCCAGAGTGAGTATTCCCCCAAAAATATAATAACTGGAGTAAGAAAAACGATGAACTGGAAAGCCATATGTCAGTGGGCCTATATTAACCCCTTCTTTTTCTGAGAAGACCCTGGAAGAATCATTATTCACCCGGCATGCCCCCTAGGCTTGCAATATGACAATATTTCATGGTTTAGAGATTCAGCCAATGAATTAAAGTTACATTAGCAGTTCAGTTCCTCATATTGGAAGTATGAAATGGAGTAGGCAATACAATATAGACTAAAAATAAAAATGAAAAAGTATTTTATTGAAAGCAAATATCATAAACATACAAAGCCACAGCATGCTTTGCTATTGTAAGTACAACCATGTTCTTACAAAGTAGTTATTTACTGTGTCCTAGAGAAAAGAAGGAAAAAATATTTGGAGGTGAAGATAAAAAAAATGAGTAATCTCCTAGATTCAATGGGCAGATAGCAGAGAAACTGTGTGGAGACGAGAAAAACAGCCTGTATTAGCAAACTATACGTATCAGTCATTTCTTGAAAGGAAGCTGGAGCCTGTGAACTCTTCTTGAACCGAGATTTAAGACTATGGTCATAAATCACTGGGACATAAACTCCAACCATTCAGAAGTGATAGAGGATTTCTGGCCGTCTTACCTTGGATTCTGACGACTGACGCGGAACACAACAGACTGTCCTCCAGTTCGGCTTCAGAACCAGCAGATCTGGGTCCCCCCACCCTGACTTAATTCCTAGGCATAATGAAGGGGGCAAGGACAGCACCACTGCAGCTCTATCACCTAGCAGGCAAAGCAGGCACGACCACGACCTCAGGATGAGAACAGCGCTCAGGAAATCTCAACAAGAAATGGTCTGCCAAAAAAACTGGACAACCCCTAAGGTTACATATGGGCGACCCCGGTCACCAAGATAAGAGCTATCAACTCTCAGGGCTTTCCAAGTGTAGTTCCACAGACACAAAAATGGTATGTTTCTCCTTACAAATATTGCCTGCTGAATGATGCTAGATTCCAAGGAGAATATTCATCTGGGAACTGGGATGTGTTGGGGGGGAGAGGGGGGAAAAAAAAGAGAAAGACATTTAGGGAGATGGGGTAGACATGGAAAGAAAAATAAAATAACATGAAAAAATTGTGGGAGGAGGATCTAGGACCCTGTGAAAGTAGGCGTCACTTGGGTTCTGGAAAATTATGCTAATGAACACATCCTGCGACTTAAAGGTCTGATTTAAATGGCTTTTTGCTGCTTTTTTTTTCAATTCTCTCGTTTTAGCCTGTTTCTAAGTGTCTTTAAACGAATGTTAGTTATTTATCGCCAAACATATGCTGCCAGTCAGAAAAAAAGGAGTTTCTAATGGTGTTCTGAATTATTAATCTATTGATGTATGTGCACTTGATTTCAATGCTGTGTGCTGACCTGTCTGCCTTCTACCAAATCTGAATGAAATCTTTTCATTTCTATTAATAAAGGGGTTTGTGGTAAACGAAGAAGGACTGCTATGATTTTCTTTATCTGCCCAAAGCCAAATAAAAGGCAATCGAATCCCTTTTACGGGCCTTATTCCTTCCTATTGTAACGTTATTATTTTTCATTGAGGATTAGGACTTAATAGGCGCAACCTAGAAAATCTTTAGCCCAAACCAGGTGTTAAAATATAATATGAATGTAGCAGAGGAGCGAGGTTACTGGGAGAAGGCAGCAAATAAAAGTGAAATACATAATGGACTATAGGCCGGTGGCCTCTTCTGCATACCAATGTTTTTTTTGTCATTTATGGCTAGGAAAGATTTATTGCACCCTGCACCATGGCTGTAAACGGAGCATTAAAACCTAGAAAACACTTGCTCCTTTCGGCATATTGCAATGGCACCACTTGAAAGGAGGGAGTCAG